GCACCACACATTGGTGTGGAACCTGATGTGGGGCTCAAACTCACAAACTCTGAGATCATGACCTGAGCTGAAACCAAGAGTAGGATGCCCAACCAACTGAGCCACCACCCAGGTGCCCCTGACATAAACCCTTTTATTTCAGATCCTTACTTCCTTACCTGTACAGTAGGGACAATAGTATACACTTCTGAGGGGTTGCAGTAATTCATTACTCCTTCAGCAAATGTTTATGAAGTACCTACTACATACTGGGTATTGTTCTAGACATTGGACATAAAACAGTGAATACAGTCCTTGCGCTCACAGTCTATGTTCCAGTATGGGAAAATAGCAATTCACAGATAGTTATACGGATAATAAATATATTTGTGAGAAGTGCAAAGAAGAATAAGCCAGGGAAGGTAAACAGAGTGATGATGAGGGCCTGAAGGTTCTGAGATAGTGTTCAAAGGCGGCACAGACCTGCAGCAGAGAGGGAATAAGCTGTGTGGAGATGGGGCCATAGGATGGGCAGAGAATTATGGGCAGCAGAAATGCAAGTGCAAAGGCCACAACGAGGAGGGTGGGTGGCTCACACACATGCCACCCACACCCCTCCTTGGGGCCTGTGCATCAGCAAGGAGTCAGTGACACTGGAGTAAAGTAAGGGAGGGAGACACTGGTGATTGAGATCAGAGTGAGGGCTGGAGGCCATGTCAGGTAGGACCCCAAAGGCCCTTTCATAAGCTTTCTGTTTTATTTTCACTGAGATGGGGAACCATATAGGTATTTTGAGCAAACAAGTGACCTAGGTCTTTAAAAAGACCTTTCTGACAGCTGACTTAAGTAGACAAGTGGGTAAAGGTGGAGGCAGAGGACCACTTATGGTGAGAAGTGGTTGGATCCTGGATAGACTTTACTTTTTTTTTTTTTTTTTTTTTTTACTTTTTTTTTTCCAACGTTTATTTATTTTTGGGACAGAGAGAGACAGAGCATGAACGGGGAAGGGGCAGAGAGAGAGGGAGACACAGAATCGGAAACAGGCTCCAGGCTCTGAGCCATCAGCCCAGAGCCTGACGTGGGGCTCGAACTCACGGACCGCGAGATCGTGACCTGGCTGAAGTTGGACGCTTAACCGACTGCGCCACCCAGGCGCCCCTAGACTTTACTTTTTTAAGTTTATTTATTTATTTTGAGAGAGAGAGAGAGAAAGAAAGAGTGAGTAGGGGAGGGGCAGAGATAGAGGGAGAGAATCCCAAGCAGGCTCCACACGCTGTCAGCGCAGAGCCTGACTTGGGGCTTGATCTCACAAACTGTGCCATCATGACCTGAGCTGACATCAAAGGTGGCTGACTGACCACTTGGGGTGCCTGGGTGGCTCAGTCTGGCTCTTGGTTTCAGCTCAGGTCATGATCTCTCCGTTTCATGAGTTCAAGCCCCACATCGGGCTCCAAACTGACAATGCAGAGCCTGCTTGGGATTTTCTATCTCCCTCTCTCTCTCTGCTCCTCCTCCACTTGTGCTGTCTCTGTCTGTCTCAAAATAAACAAATAAACTTAAAAAAAAAAAGTAGCTAACTGAGCTGCCCAGGTGGCCTAGATCCTGGATGGATTTTGAAAGGAGAGCTGATAAGGCTTTGTGATAGACACCATGGCATAAGAAGGGAGGATTCTAGGGTGATCTCAGAGTTTTGGCCTAAGGAAATGCAAGTATAAGGTTGCCATTCCTGAGGTAAGGAAGGTTACACAAAGAGTTGGGGGCTGGAAGAGTTGGGAACTTAGCTTTGAACATAAAAACTTTAGATGCTAATAGTATATCAGAGTGGACAAGTAGACCATTAGAGGGGCCTGGGGTTTAAGGAAGAGGTGTGGACTAGAGATACAAATGTGGGTGTCACCAGTGTAGTCTTTAAAGACTTTTAGATACTACTCAGAAAGCCAATGTGGTATATTGGGGAGCAAGAATTTCCTGTCCCCTTCTAGGTCCTTCTAGCTCTACTAAGAATCAAATTGATATGAGACAGATTAACAGGAGAATATTTAGTTTCCTATATACAGGAAATCCACATTGACACAGAAACTTGAAAGACACACAAAATAAGGTATATTTATTATCCTGAACTAAAGAGAAGCAGCCAGGGGTCTGGGAGTTAGAACGGAACGAATACAAGTCACAGGGCAATAAGAAGAGCAGATGTTTGGTAATTTAGATGTCTGCTTTGCCATATAGATGGGTCATTCAGATAAAGTTTATCTCTGGTAATAACCATTATTCTGGGAAAGACTCCCAATTTAGATTCTTCTATTTAGTTAAGGGAGGGCCAAAACATTTAAGTCCATAGGTCTTGATTGCCTTTAGTTCAAAATACTCTTCAAGCCAAAGTGGCCCATTTGGGGGAAGCCTGCCTTTGGCCCCTAGAGGACCAAGAGTTGAGGACTATATGAGCAAGTCCTAAATGCCAGCAAGACTCAATACCCCTCACATTTCTCTCTTCTCAACAGCCCTACCTTCCTTGCTTTTTTGTTTTTCTATTAAAAAGGATTTTGTGAGTGATGGGGTCAATTTTTTTTTTAACTTCAGTTTCTAGATTCCCAGTCTCCGGTATGTGCTAGTTTAACACTTCAAAGAATTCATCATTTAAGTTCTAGGAGAGTATTTGGAGATATCCACACAAATATGAATGCTGGTTGTGATATATTTTGCAATACAGTCAATGAAATTCTATTGTAATTTAGAAGTACCATTACAAAGCTAATATAAGAAGCTACTCAATTCCTTTTTTTAAATGTCTTTTTTTTTATTTCTAAGCAAGAGAGCACATGTGGGGGAGGGGCAGGAAGAGAGAGAATGACAGAGGATCGAAAGCAAGCTCTGTGCTGATACTAGTGGGCCTGAAGTGGGGTTCAAACTCAGGAACTGTGAGCTCATGGGATCATGGCCTGAGCTGAAGTCAGATGCTCAATCAGCTGAGCCACCCAGCCACCCCAAGAGCTACTGAATTTCTAAAGGCATTTCTAATTGATCTTAAATGATCAGTTGCCAACAGTTTTCTACTGACACAAATGTTGAAATTACACAAGTTCACTTTGTAATAAATAAGCAAATCTCAGGGCGCCTGGGTGGCTCAGTTGGTTAGCCAACCAACCTGGGCTCAGTTCATGAGCTCATGGTTCATGGGTTGGAGCCCGCATTGGGCTCTGTGCTGACAGCTCAGAGCCTGGACCATGCGTCAGATTCTGTGTCTCCCTCTCTCTCTGCCTCTCCCTGCTCATGCTCTGTCTTTCTCTGTCTCAAAAATAAACATTAAAAAAAAAAAAAGAAAAAGAAAGTAAGCAAATCTCTAGGTGGTAGATCGTTTGTAAGAAATAATGCCATATTAAAGAATGCCAAAACTGTAAAACCAAATTTGTGAAACTACTCTTTTCTTTGTAAGATGAGTTGAATTAGTTCTTAACTTGGGTTCCAGAAGTGTAAATTTATCTTTGAAACTTATTTCTTCCATCAGCTACTTTTTTTGTTTTCAAGTTTTTATTTTTAAGTAATCTCTACACCCAATTTGGGGCTTGAACCAACAACCCCAAGATGGAGAGTCTTATGCTCCACCGACTGAGCAACCCAGGTGCCTCTCCATCCACTATTTCTAACTGCTTTACAAAAATCTAAAATCAAATACAGGTTAAGAAGTAAGTTGTTTAAGTAGCTCAGTTTTCCTACGTTCAGCCCAAAACTTAACAGTTAAATTATCTATACACTTGTGTTAAAAAAAAGTACCTGAAAGTATATTTTTAAAAGTCTTGTGGGAAAACAGTTATAAATCATGAGAATGGTGATTTGTTACCTTTTGCTTTTGGTTCTTATAAACCGTTATAAGAACATTTCTGATGGGTTCATTCAGATTGAGTTTCCAGCATTAGTGGAAAATCACAAAGCCTGGGGCGGGAGGGGAAGGAGCCAGCTTTCCGCTGCGGCTCTGGATCACTGGGTGCTCCGTTTCAGTCCCGCGTTGTCTCACGTTCGGGTCACCGATCTGGGGCAGGACCCGGTGCGTTTGCACACGGCGCCGAGCACTAGGCAAAACCGGCCCTCCCACTCTCCGGGACCGAGCCCAGACCCCACCACAGCAAAATCGACCATTTGGCCCTGCCGGGACCATGACGCCCCGCACGGCTTCTCCTGCCCTTCTCCAAAATGGCTGCAGGTCGGCGCCGGGAACACTGGGCCCACTACCCGAGGAACTAGGGACGGGGCGGAGTGGGGGGCGGGGTCGGCAGGAGCCCGGCGTTGATTGGCTGGCGCCGCCGACCTGGTCCCAGGCGCCGGGCCGTACAGACGGGCGCAGCGGCCTGGGGCTGGGATGCTAGGGGCTGTGGGCTCCCTGCTGCAGCGGCTCCTGTGAGCGGCGGCGACTGAGACGCAGGCGGGCAGTGAGGCCAGTGGACGCCGTCGGCGGCCGGCCGTGTCGGCCGCGGGATGAGGAAGCGGACCGAGCCCGTCGCCTTGGAGCATGAGCGCTGCGCCGCCTCGGGCTCGTCCTCCTCTGGCTCGGCCGCCGCGGCGCTGGACGCCGACTGCCGCCTGAAGCAGAACCTGCGCCTGGCGGGCAAGGCGCCGGCGGAGCCGCGCTGCGCCGCAGACGCGGGCATGAAGCGGGCCCTGGGCAGGTGAGGCGCAGCACAGGGGCGGAGTCCCGGTACCTGGCCGGCACGTAGCCCCTAGTGCCCCCGCCCCTCCATAAGTTTCTTGTCTGTGGGAGCGCTCCACACCTACCCCCCACCCTCCGGTGTCCTCTTCCGATCCTCCTCTATCCCTTTCCCTCGCCTAGCCGCCCGCAAGTGCGGCCCTCGGGCATCCTTTCCTCAGGTACCTGCCTGCGGGAGCGCCCCCGACTACCCTCTTTACCCCCCTGGTGTCCTCTTCTCGTGCTGCGCGGAGCTCAGTCCCGCGTCCGTACCCTTCCCAGGTGAGCTAGTGGGACACCGTCAGCTACGGGCTGGAGCAGCGTCTCTCCCAGGGACTGGGGGCTGCGGGCAGCCACGACCCCTTGTGGAAGAGTAGCGGAGGGGTCGGAAGCGTCCCTGGTGAGGCCCCTGGACGCTCGGCACGTACGAGGTGGGACGCTGAAGGGAAGGCTCCAGACCCAGAGAACGGTGGGATCCTTCCCCACGGATTTCCTGCAGTGAACTCAAAACCGAGCGCCCCTCTTGCTGGACTGGTGTATGTAGAAACTACCGTTCCCCGGTTTCTTACTTTGGTATTTTCTCGGGTAACTAGTTGTCAGAAGTGGCATTCTCTACTCAGCTGCTGGACGACCTTTGGGGGAAGGTTAAATGGTCTGCTGTGTCTGAGGGCCGGGAAGGATACACCGCATCCTCAGCTGTTGGAAGGAAACCTGTCTTGGGTTGTGCAGATGGCTCGTGGTGCTTGAAATTTGTCTACGCGAGTTGTCTCCTTGGGAATCTCCGTAGAGTCGGAAGTCTTTTGGTTATTTGCATTCTCCCTCTGAGTAGGAGATGAATGCATCCAGGTAAAGCTGATTTCAAAATTAAGATAGTGTATTGCACAGGGACAAGTCTCTCCCCATATGCTGGTTTCTTAATTATCTGGCTGTTCATAGAACGTATCATTGATGGCAGTTTTGACAGCTGGGTGTTTCATGGTTTCGAACAAGTTAGTATGTAATGTTTAAGGTGTTGTAGAGTAATTTTTTGGGGGGTCAGCTGGAATGCCCTTAAATGGCATTGGCCACTTCAGTGTCAAATATTTATCCAAATAGTCCCTAAAAATAATTTTGTTGCTTAAAAATCCTGAAATTGAAAATATGAATATTTGGATAAATAAAAATATAAATATTTGGATGAATAGGAATATTTAATCTAAAAGGAGACCTCGGCATTTCAACTTTATTGCTTAAAAGGTCATGAAATTAAACTATAGTCTCCTCTAAGTTAGTAGTACAAATTTTTGCCAGAAGGGCAGGGACTGGCAGTATTTTTGTTTTTGTGTAAAATTATCTAGTAACTGGTCAATATCTTTTGTGAAACTAATTTATTTTTTGTGGAAAGGTTTATCTGCATTAAAAACTCCTGAATAGTTTTAATGTACTTTTGTTAGCAGGTTTAGCATAATGCCTAGATAAGTAGGTGAATTCTTCCTTTGAAAAAAATCAAATTGTTATGCCCAATAATGTTTGGGGAAATAATGCTGGCCTCGCACCTTCCTTGAAAGATGTACTGTATTCAAAGGATATGATTATTTTTATTTTTGTATTTGCTTGGAATGCTCTCCTGGACATTCTGCTTTGTTTTCTCTTTCACCAAAGTCTCTACTCAACTGCCATGTCCTCAGAGAGGCCCTCCCAGACCAGCCCATCCAAAACAGACTTCATGCCACTCCCAACACCCTTATTTTGTTTACTTTTTTCATCACACTTATCCCTGTCTTGACCTTGTAATTGCCTGTGTACTTGAGTTGCTTTATTGGTTGTCTCCTCCCATATAAGAATAGAAGCCTTATGAGAGCAGGGGCATTGGGCATTGTTTCCTCCACCTTTCTGTCTCCAGTGCATGGCCATAGTAGGTGGCTGAAAATACTTGTTGAATTAGAATCTGTAAATTCCTAAGAAGTGGAATTGCTGGGCCAAGGAGTGTGTGTCTATAACTTTGAAAGGTGAGGCCAAAGTGCCCTCCAGTGTATTGATGAGTACTTCCTCCAGCAGTGTCAGTTGTCTGCCCTTCCCCTTAATAATGAATGTTACCAGATATTTTGATCTTTTTCTATTTGGCTGATGAAAATGACATCTGATTTGTAGCTTTAATTAGCATTTCTTAATTGTTTGGTAGCAATTTTTGTGTGTTTTCATAAGCCTACTGTATACTTTTGGGTATACAATATCTGCATATTTTGCCACACTAGTTATTTTCATTATCTGCATTTTGTTGGGGTTTTTTGTGCACATTTTCAAATATACAGAAGTAAGGAAGACAATACAAAGAACCTCCATGTATCCATGACTTCTTAAACAGTTTGCCATGTTTTGCCAATCTTGAATTGTCTCTTTTCCCTCCATTTTTTGGGGGGGTGGGGTGGGGAACTAGAATATTTTTAAAAATGATTTCATCCATAAATACTTACAATATAGCTTGAACAAATAAGGACTTTTTGAAATATGCATACCCAAAATGCTATATTTATCAAAATCAACAATTTATTGCCTGTTACTAATTTAATCTGATACCCAGTCTACATATGCATATCCCTAGTTACTTCAGAAACAGCTTTTTAAATTTGGTTTGTTTCAAAATCCTGTACATTTTGGGGCACCTGGGTGGCTCAGTCAGTTAAGCATCCAACTTCAGCTCAGGTCATGATCTCATGGTTTGCGAGTTCTAGCCCTGTGTCAGGCTCTGTCCTGACAGCTCAGAGCCTGGAGCCTGCTTCAAATTCTGTGTCTCCCTCTCTTTCTGCCCCTCCCCTACTTGCTCTCTCTCTCTCTCTCTCAAAAATAAGTAAACATTAAAAAATTAAAATCCTGTACATTTATTATGTTTATTCCTAGTTACTTGATCTTTTTTGTTATTGAGAATATTGAAATTTTTGTTATTGATCCTTTCTTACATATTACATATTTTTATTATTGTACTTATTAATTTTGTAAGCAGCAACTTATGTAATCATATAGTTTCTAGTGGATTTTGCAGTTCTCTTGGATTTTCCAGGTATAATATCATATCAGTTACAAATAAGAATTTTGTCCCTTGGTTTGTCCTTTTTATGTCCCTTACATCTTTTTCTTTGATTGCATTGTATTTCCAGAACAAGATTAAACACTAGGACTGATACTGGGTATCCTTGTCTTGTTCCTTACTTTACTGAGACTGCTTTGTGTTTTTGCCACACTAGTTATTTATTAAGCGTGTGTTGCTGCTGTTTGGTTTTTTAATCAAAAATGGTTGTTGAATTTTATCAAATGCCATTTTAGCATCTGTGAAATTATGTAGATATTCTCTCTTGACCTGTTAATATGAATTAGAGTAACAGATTTTGTATTATTGAATCATTGTATTATTGAATCATCAGTGAAAATTCTGTTAATGTGTAGCTAGGGCCTCTTAATGTTTTACTTAGTAATTTTAAATCATCATTCATCATTTGAGAGACTAGTCTGTAATATTTTATTTTAGAGAGGGAGAGAGAGAGCATATGAGCCAGGGAGAGGCACACAGGGAGAGAGAGAGAGAGAGAGAGAGAGAGAGAGAGAGAGAGAAAGAGTGTATCTTAAGCAGCCTCAATGTTCAGCTCAGAGCCCCACATGGGGCTTGATCCCATGACCTTGGGATCATGACCTGAGCCAAAATCAAGAGTCGGAAACCCAACCAACTGAACCACCCAGGTGTCCCTGTAATTTATTTTTTAATGCAATCTTTATCAAGTTGTTTTAGTGCTTTATATAGCTTTATTAAAACCTTTCTCTTTCTTAGGGCACCTGGGTAGCTCAGTCAGTTAAGCGTCCGACTTTGGCTCAGGTCTTGATTTTGTGATCTGTGAGTTCAAACCCTGTGTTGGGCTCTGTGCTGACAGCTCAGAGCCTGGAGCCTGCTTTGAATTCTGTGTCTCCCTTTCTCTGTCTCTGTCTCTCTCTGCCCCTCCCCCGTTCTCACTCTCTCATAAATAAGCATTAAAAAAAAAAATCTTTCTCTGCTTCAGCCAGTTTAAATACTTTTGAAATGATTTGTTTCTTTAAATTTTGGTGGAATTCCCCTGTAAAACTAAACCTGGTGCTTTTTTAGATTTGCTATTTCTTTCTGGGTTTAGTTTTGGTGATTATACATTGATAGAAAATTCATCTGTTTTATCCAGTTTTTTCCTCTGTATCTGGGGCTGTTACCCCTGTCTTGTTCCCTAATTTGTGTGCTTTTTTCCTTTTTTCCCCCTTGATTAAAAGTAGGTAATAGTATATCTAATACACAGACATGCATTGAAGTAGAAATTTTTTTTTTCCTAAAGAAAATATATATTTTTTTAGTTAGTTCTGGGAGAATAGGATGCTGCTGAGGGTTCTGGAGAAGTAGAGAAAACATCTTCTGTCTGAAAGTGGTTACTGCACCCTCTCCTGTTGCCACTGCCCCTGGCAGGAATGTGGCCCTAGGTTGGCCAGATCATCCAGTCTCTCCAGAAGAGTAGCTGGGTGTGTGTGTGTATACACCCATGTGTGTGTATGTGTGTGTACACTCAGACTTTGTAAACATTGGCAACTAATTCAGGTAAAAACAACTTTGGAGTAAAATAATTTTGAGAGAGAGCATGCAGGTGAACAAGGGAGGGGCAGAGAGAGAGGAAGAGAGAGAATCCCAAGCAGGCTCCACACACTGTCAGCACAGAGCCTGATGTGGGGCTTGATCTCACAAATGGTGAGATCATGACCTGAGCCAAAATCAAGAGTCAGACACTTAACTGACTGAGCCACCTAGGTGCCCTGGACGGGTTGTATTTAAAGGTAAATGCTTATCTAACATATACATTGACATGCACTCCCTGGGAGGAGGGACTAGATATTAGTTTTATACAATATCTGGTAATTTTTAGAAAATGAGGAATTTTTGGGTCTTCCCTGTTCTTTTCAGTAACCTAGGTCTTCTTGGGACTATGCCTTGAAGGCGTAAGTACTCTAATTTGTACCCTGGGAAGGTGGTAATGAGATGTATGGGTCTGTGTGTTTTAGTGAACTTGTCTTTATTCTTCTACTCCCAGCTCATAGGTGGATCTGCCAGTGACTGAGATCAGTGGGCTGCACAGGAGGTTTCATAGCCTGTGATCCTTGCATGTAAATACAGGGGAACTGAGGCATCACCCATGGTTCCTCCTTGACCCAAAGGAAGGAACTTCATCTAGCTGCTAATGGCTTCACTATAATCCAGGAAGGCCATGGCTGAGGTTAAGGCTGGTCTCCTTTAACATCAGTCTTCCTGAACTCACCCTAGAAGCTTCACTTTGTCCTTTCTTTATATACCAAGAAGGTGAGAATGTATTCTGGGGTAGTTTTTGTAGTTAAAGTCTGCTTTTTTCCATCCTCCTTCTCCTTCCACTCCCCCAGAATACAGTCTATGCCTGGACAATGATAAGCAAGGAGGCAAGGCTTTGTTTATGGCACCTCACCTGGAGCCCCCAGCTGGGCCCATCTCTTCCCAGTTGTGGTTTACCTTATCAAGGCCACACTCCAGTCCTGGACCCAGGACCCTGGGATCTGGTGCTTCTCTCATGTCTCCTTTGGTGAGATTTCATGCCCTATATCTCTCCTTGTTTCCAGTTCCTTTTTAGCCAATGTTTACTCTCCCTTCTCAAGGGAGAGTGTCTTGTATAGTAACTACGCAGACACTGGTCATATATGGAAGATATTTTTGAGTAGATTAAAAGGTCTTAAAGACATTATCATGGAGGTGGCCTTGGAAAGAGGCATAAAAGATGGGTCATCTTGTCAGGGTTATGCTGACGGCAGTGGAGACAGGCTGCCTTTCCAGGCTCGTGATC